GGGTGCTGGGGGGGTGAAGTTTTCGTGCTCCCTTTATACACAAAAATCGGGGGTTAGTGCCTGTCCAAACACGCCCGTTGGATACTGGGGGGTTAGTGATTAGCCTACAGTTGTCATACAGCTCACATAATGCTTCTACTACTGCGTATGCTCAGGGGAAGGGTCTTAACCTGGCCCGGGGTCTTTTTGACCTGTGGATGTGGTTTTTTAGTATCACAGTGAAGGTAGTTCACTTTCGGGACACTCAGAAGTTAGTTTCATTGCCAAATTAATTAATCGCTTTGTCAGGTTGTCAAATAACCCATCCTCAATGCAATCCCAGACTTGCTCTTTATTGTCCAAGGATGTTCTGCTTATTTTACAGGGTTTGGAGATCAAAGTATATCCTTGATGAGTTTCTTATTCCTAATCAAGTTCGTCTTGACCACACTTCAAAGCCTCGCTTGACCAAGCTTCAAAACCTTTTGATTGTCTCCATATGTGCGGTACCTATAGCTACTAGACGTTAATAACCACAGCTACTAGCAAGCATGAAGTGTGCTCTGTCCAAGGCACTGAAGAGCCTGTCCCGCTCTTTGCCTCCTCTGACACCTGTGGTTTCTGAGTCGGTTCTCTGGGAAATGGCTCCCTTCCCCACTCCACCCTGGGTAGATTTTGTGTTTTCAGTTCTTCCAGCTCAAAGCTTGGAGGTTCACCCCCTGACCGAGCCTGCTCTGCTCTGCAGGCAGCCTCTCACGGGCCTTTGCAATCCACCTTTGCAGACCCTTTGCTCTCTGACAGTTGCCTTCAGGCGTTCATCGTTTTTCCTTCTGATCACCAGTGAACTTTCTGAACAGTGGAGGAGCAGTATCAGTGAAACTTAAATAGAAACAGTGGAACACGGGGAGGCCTCCCCGTGGCTGCCTGCAGAGATTGGCTGATGACTGGATTGTTTCACTTTGCCTGGACTTATGAATATTGTAGAAAGTGAGCTTTGAAATCAGAATGTTATTGAAGTCGTCCATGAAGCTCCTTGGACTTTGATGGTATCTACATGATTACTTTTATCAGTCTGATAAAAGTCTTGATCAGTCTGTAAGCTCCTCAAATAATTAAATCAGACATTTTTTTAAAAAAGAAAGCTCTTTTCTATAAAACCACATTGACAAGCACTAATGATACTCATGTAATGTGCTGCATTTGTCACCAAAATGGGATAAAAGAACTTATCAACACCAATGTGATGTAGATAAGCAGACACTCCTTTATTAATGGATGGATGCACAGGGGAGTTGTCTCACCACTAACACACACCTAACTCATGTAGCATACTGATTATATTGGATACAGTAATACATATTAATCAAGTTCTCATACATAACCATGATGATTCCCGTAAATCATTTTCTTATTCCCACCCCTTTCCAGTCACGCACATGTGAGTACTGAAATGAGTCAGGGGGCTGCTTGTGCAACCACCATGGACTACTGACCTAAGACTCTCCAATGCCCTTGACTCAAGAACTTTGGCTCACATTGTGATTTTAAAATGCTTTGAGGCCCTTTTACAATGCAGCTTTTAGAACACCTGGCCTGCAGGGCAATAAATCCTCCTTACCAAACAATCTAACAATGGTACCTCG